TCTGTCTGCGAGTGAGGACTGGCGGCCACCTCCTGGGTCTGTGCCCTCTCCCCGGCGTGTCGGTTTCGGGGTCCACCAGCAAGCAGGTGCAGACATGTGATGTGGCCGATGACGCTTGTACCTGAGCAGTAGGCTGAGAGATGTGCCCATGAGTTCAGATGGCACCGGTGGGCAGGTCAGAGGTAGGGGGGGACACAGCTAAAGGGGGTGCGTTCCAGGTCCCTGTCCCTGCCTGACCGCTGGCATGAGTGTGGATGACGAGAAGAGAAAGCCAGGAGGACAATAAAGACCTGCTGGTGGTGTTTATTAAAAGGGATGGGTGGGAAGAGGTGAAGGAGGGAGAAAGGGCTAAAAGCCAGCACCCCCGAAGTCAACACAATGCAGCAAACTCAGCCCCAATCCTGGTCAGAGAGAACAGGATGGGAGGGGAGGGGAGGGGAGGAGAGGCAGAAGCACAGCAGAAAGAATGGGGTGAGGACAAAGGTGACCCAAGAGGGGAGGAGGCAGCCCTGCAGACTCCTGGACCCGGCTTGCAGCTGGTCTCACCGCAGGTGACAGCGGGATCAGCAGCAGGACCATAACCCCAGTCAGTGTGCCCTCTGGCCAGAGGCTGGCATCTGCCCAAGCCACCCCAAGCAGCAGGAGAGCCAGGTGGGGGCGGGGGCAGGAGGCAGCTGGGTGAGCTCACCTGCAGCAGGCAGGTCTCCCTGCACCTGTCCATCTGTGTCCCTGTGTGTCACATGAACACTGCTGAGTCAGGGGCAGTCTTCCAGGAGGGCCATGTAGACCCTGGGTGTCAGGAAAAGCTCCCAGGCGCCTCTGACTGTCTCCCTTTCCCATCCTTCACCAACTCACTGCTGCCCCTTCCTCAAAGCCTCCAGGACAGCCCAAGTCACCACCCCAAACCTTCTGGGCTCCCCACACCGATCTGTGGTGGGCAGGCTTCACGGTGCCCACGGTCTCCGCCGCCGGAGTCAGGCCTTTGAGAGAACCTCCCCTGGGAATGCCGCAGGACCTGTGGCCTGCTTCTAACTAAGAATCAGGTACCGGCTTTCCTGGCGCCCCTGAAACACCGCAATCCCCTTCCCTCTTCAGTATCTTCAAGAATTTTCATCCTCACAAACCATCCGCCACCCCACTATCCACTTCCTTGGGCAAACACACGACAGCCAGCTACCAACGCATCACCCCACCTCAAGTGTGGGCTGGCAGGACCCCAAGGGCATCCCCAGTTCCCCCCTCCCCACTGCATCAAGGGACAGCAAGGGGTGCACTTCTTATATAAGCCGTCTTCTAGGGAGTCAGGACTCCTCATCCACCAGCCCGGCCCTGGAGCACAGTGGATACGACAGTGCAGTCTTTCTGCCCACATCACCCAGACAGACCGTTGTGCCAGGGACCAGAGGGTGGAGGGTGCTGGTCTGCCGTGTCCAGGAAGGAGGGGTGTCGGGAGAGGCCGAGCCCACTGCGGGCAGGCCACAGCGCTCTCAGGCTGGCGTGGGGCCTTCCCGAGCCTCCTCTGGAGCAAAGGTCGTACCGCCGGCCCATGTGTCCTTGTGGAGGGAGACAGGTGCTGTGTGGAACTCACGGCACAGCCTCGAGCCCAAGGCTTCCGCGCAGAATGAGTGCCCTCTTCCTCCCTACGTCCCCCAAACGGCGGCGGCACCAGAGGAAGCAGCCTTTGGCACAGGCGAAACATGAAATGGGGTGAAACTGGGCACAAGGAGGGGTCTCCACACAGGCAGCCCAAGGGCTGGATTCCAGCCCACTGCTGGAGCATGGAGGCGGGGGAGGGGCTCCTCTGTCCCGGCCTCAATGCACCTGCTGACCCTACCTGTAGCCCATCCTTTAGGGGACAAAGCCTGTCACTGTGAAAGCCAGGCATCGCGTCGCATATCCCCGAGCAGGGTAATGGGGGTACCAAGTGCTCCCTAAGTCTAGGTGAGAAGGCCCTCCCGCCTGGACAGGGGTGGGGTCCGCAAGGGCAGGGTCAGCAGAGCCAGGGGAGCAGGAGCACCATGCGCAGGGCGCCTCCACTTCCTCCACTTTGGGACAGCCCAGGTTGTCCCCCAGCAGCCTTGGGGACAGAGCAGTGGCCGCGGCGCTGGCCAGCCGGCTCGGCCAGCTCGGAGGCTCCCGCCAGAGAGGGAGCAGAGGCGCCCCCCATCCTTCCTGCTAGACTCCCACAGCAAAAAGAATAAAACGGCCCACTTGTTTTTATCGCTCGGAGTTCCTGGGAAATGGGCTATTAGCTCCCCTAGTGTAAAGATAACGGGCTCATCCCCTTGCCAGTGGCAGGAGCCAGCACAGGCGCTGCCAGCACTGGCTGGCGGCCTCCACCTAGGAGGACCAGGGCCCGGGGCCAGGACAGGGGCCCACAGGGCCCGCAGGAACCAAGGGGCAGGCTGAGGCGTCCCCAGCCCCAACCTGCGTGGTGGCCACGGCCACCCCGAGTCCTCGGTGCCTGGGAGAGGTCACGGGCTCGGGCCCTGAGTTCTCGCCCCTCTCGCTCCCTGGACGCTGGACACTGCCGGGCAGTGGTAAAGAAAATGGTGGCTGGAAGCGTGGGGAGAGACCTGGGGAGAGACCTGTGATTTCTGCCACTGCTGCCTCTGTCCTTTAAGAGGGGGAGCCCGAGCTGGCACACAGCAGGGACGGCTCCCCAGCCGGCAGGGGCAGCTGCCCGGGGCCAGGCCAGGCAGGCCGGGCACTGGTGCTGCCCTGGAGGGTGACCTGGGTGGGCCGGAAGGACGAGGCTGGGAGAAGCTGCGTGTGCGCATGAGCAGGACGCCGGTTTACTGATCGGTCTTCTCCTCCTCGGGGGGCTCCGAGGCCTCGGCCGCAGCCTCTCTGCCCCCCGCGGGGTCCCCCAGCGGCTCCTCGGTCAGGAGGAAGTGGGCCAGCTGCTCTAGGTCACCCAGGCTTATCCTCTGCAGGCGCGCCTCATGCTCCTGCCGCAGCAGCTGCAGCACGGCCTTGGCGTCCTGCGGGCTGAAGTGCTTGGCTAGGACCTGGTCCAGGCAGGGCCACAGGGACTGCCGCTGGCCGGCCGGGGCGGGCGCCGGCTTCTCCGAGGGCCGCATGATGACATTGATGGCGGCATTGGGCCCGATGCCATAGTCAGAGAGAAGCTTGTCGTCGGCCAGAATCTGGCCTCGGAAGAGCAAGTGCTGTTGTTCCTCTGGCACCTGCAGCCTCTTGGACACTAACTTCTTCAGCGTGGCCACGCTCTCCTGCCCTGTCACCTTCACGCTGCATCTCCGGCCCAGGAGCAGCTTGACGGTGAGGAACATGGGGCTGGGCGCAGAATCAGGAGGGATCCATGCTCCAGAGGCTGCCCTGCGGGTTCAGGCCCTGCAGGAGAGGGCGGCTTCTCCTGTCAAAGGCGGGCAGAGACCCCAGGAGGCCGGGCCCAGCGGGCAGCCATTGGCTGGGGCGCCGTGAGGTCACAATGCCGCGGGCCCCTCTTCCAGAGCAGAATCAGCTAAGTCACAGGGCGGTTCAGGCACCAGCACCCTTCCCTCAGATGAGAAGAAATGGGAGGCGAAGAGGCGAAAAGGAGGGTCTGGACTGGGGTAAACGGGAGCAGGTTAGGGAACAAGAGGGCCCAAGGGGTGGGGTGGCGGGGGGAAGCAAGTTTGCTGACTCATTTGATGCAGGTGGGTGCCGTTTCTGCTGGCCCTGTCCCGTGGACACATGGAGCCATGCCGCGGACCAGCGAGCAGGAGCAGGAGACAAGTTTCAGGGATGGCAGTTCTGGCACAGGGTGGACAAGGATGAGGCTGAGTGACAGACAGACACGACTTCTAGGAGCGCATATCTGAATGTCATTTATTTTCAAGAGTGCAGAGCATTTATACAATTTTTCTTGGCAAGCAAATATAGGGGTACAATGATTCTTTCAATAGAAGCGTGACAGATAATACATTTTTTTATTGTTTCTGAGATGTCGTCAGGGGACCCAGACCAACCTGGGGCCCTGAGAAACCACTGTGTATTCAAGGTTCAGTGGTGCTACACAAATGCCCTATCCATCACTTTTGCCTTGCTAATCCTTTTACAAGCCACCTGGTATACAGGAGTTAATAGAATTAAAGATCGTAGCAGAGTTTCTCAGAATTAAATCAGTTTCGAGAACAGAGGAGGCTGCATTCCTTTCAAGAGCATCATTAGAACGAAGCACAGTGTCATAACATTTCTTTGGTTTAGTACGTTGTGTGTCAGCAGAATCAGGAAACAAATCAAAAGTTACAGTGACCATTCAAGAATCAGCCATTCTTTTATTCCTGGAGGGCCACGTATTCCTCCCATGTGCCCGGTACCTTGACCGTGCCAAGCTCTAAGGATTTCTCACTTAGGCGCCGCGGGAGGCGACGTGGCAGAGCTTCTCTGCCCTTGAGTAGTTTGCAATCTGGTGAGCGAACATCCATCAGCCGGCCTGTTTATCACTCTGTGCACTCTGCTGGCTTTCCCATTAGTGACCCCGAGAAAGCCGGTGTTTAGGGGAGACAGGAAGGAAGTCAATGCTGTATCCATGAGCAAGTGGCCACTGTGGGCAACTGGGAGTTCCCAGTCCCCCGGGCGTTCTTGGGCTTCGCAGAACAGAGAGGGCTGCGCCGCGTGAGAAGCAGAGGCTGGGCCCGTGGGCAGAGCGGGCTCCTGCGGAAGGCGGATCCGGCAGGGAGAGGCCGGGTGTGGCAGGGAGAGGCCCGGTAGGGCTGGACCACGCCTGGCATGGCCGGATTTAATCCTTGCAACCCCAGGCAGCTCAGCAAGCCCCCATTCCATTCAACACCGTCTACTATAATCTGAATGAGAAAAAGGAAAAATCCCGGCCAAGGTTGAGCAACACAACGTTGAAGGAGGAGCTGGCCCTGGGTATGTCCTTTGCTTCAGGTTGCAGCTTTCAAGCGCCCCTGGAAGGTCCAGGATGCTGAGCGCAGGCCGGCCGTGCTCACGCTTCCTCCACCTGCTGCCGGACGGACGGCTCAGCCCCACCACCGGCTGCAGGAGATTGTTCTGCCTCAGCCTTCTGCACCGCCAGCACTGGGCAGGCACCAGGCCCCAAGTGAAGAAGGAACACAGGGGGGCGGGGAGGGACAGGCCTGCTGCCGCAGCAATGTGGGGGGCGTGGTTGCAGGTCTCGGGGGTCAGCCTCCACGCACACGAGCACACGGGAGGCCGTCGGGGTGCTATCGCCTTTTGGGGTGTTTGAGAAGTGAGCACGTATGGAGCAGGCCCAGGGAAGTCCCACAGCTGCTGGGGATCCCCACAACTCTACAGATCTCCATGTTCCACTATGCATGGGCTTTCCTCCGCCTTCTCACCACACTTTCTTCCCTTTCTCAACAGCCTGAACTCTACACTTGAAGCGTGCTGTGGCGACATCCTTGGACTCTCCAGAACTCGCCTCTGCATAGCCTGATCCTTATCCTGGGGTGGTCCCGGCTTCCACCCATCTTCTGGCCCTGGCAGGCCTGGGCAGTGGGGAGGGGGGGAAACACCTGAATGCCATGACCTCACCTCACCCTCCTCCTCCCCCACTGTGTCCCCACTCTCATCAGATGCGTTCTCCTGGTCCACAGAGATACCAAACCCACAGGTCAGGAACCCCCTTGCCCCGCTGCCAGGATGCTGCCCCACCCAGCTGCCCTTAACCCCCCCCCACTCCCTGCCAGATGAGCACTCCTTGATGCAAATGCTACTTCTCCTACTTCTCCACCGACCGATCCTGGGTGGGGGCTCGCCTTCCTTCCACAGAGGCTCTGAGTGCAGAGTCCATCTCTGCTTACTCATGCCGCAGCCACAGGGAGCCACAGGGAGAAAAGGGAGGTCTGGTTGTCCCTCTGAGCATCATCATCCAGCTGAATCCCCCTTGCTTTTGTGACCAAAAGCAGCCTCCTCAGCCATCCACCTGAGGCTGCCAGGGCTTAGCATCCACTTAGCATCCTTCATTCCAGCCACCTGCCTGAACTCTTCTAACACATACTTCAAAATGCTGGCTAACCTCCCTGGTGGCGCAGCGGGTTGAAGCACAGCACTAAGAAGCAAAAGCCGCTTCTGCATGAGTTTGATCCCTGACCAGGGAGCTGACCCGTGTGGCACGGCAGACCTCTCCTGACCCGCCTACTGCTCCCCTCAGCAGTGTGCTTCGTCAGTCGGCCTGTTCTGCTCCTCACTCTGTCTCTGGTGAATCCTCTCAGCACCCCTGCACTCTGGCCTGTACAGCAAAAATTGCTGGCTAAAAACTGCCTCTTCCAGGAAGCCTTCCCTGCTTTCCCCAGGTAATCCCACCTCCCTCTGTGCAGCCAATTCTCACCTTGCACGTGACTTGTGTGGGTGCACCTAGCCCTGTCTGTCTCCCTCCCTGCCTCTGAGAAGCCAGAAATGGGTCTCATTTATCTTTCTACTCCCCACCTCTAGCCCCCAGAAGTGACACGTAGAAGGCCTAATATAGGTCTGCTGAATGAAGGAGAAAATTTCGCCGGACTGAGCTAGACTATTGGATGCAGAGTCCAACTGGCAGGTTGTGGAAAGGTATAACTGGCCTGCAACCTCTCCCTCGCTGCCAGCGCCTCCCCTCGAGAGACGAAAATCCAAAATTAAATAAAAAATAAATCAGAAAATGATCCCAGTCTTTACCAAAGGATCTCCTACAGTTTTATTCAAACAGCCCACTCCCTGGGTGGAAGCGAGATGAGAGGATTTGCAAATGAGCACACGGGATGGGCAGCAGAGTGGACAGGTTTCTCCCCAGCCAGCCCGGAGTGCCCAGCCTCTGGAGGGGGAGGGAAGCACCCTGTAGGTGGACACGATGGAGGGAACGTCCTGGGCACTCCCTGAACTGAGCTAGCCCAGGAGGGCTTCTCGGAGGCCCAGGCTGGAGTTGTCTTTGAGCAGAGGGGACGAAGGTGAAGTAGGAAAGAGAGTGTCTGGCATCTCACTCCTGGGCAGTGGCATTTCTAGGAAAGGGGCAGGAGCCAGAGAGTTGGGAGCACGGAGGCTGTTGAGACCCACCCACCAGGCTCTCCTCTTCACAGCTGTCTGCCCAGGACTCCGGGAGTCCTGAAAAAGACATACTGAGCCTGGGCTTCTGGAAGCACAAGAGAGCCATCGCTCTGGCCCCACCTCTAAGGCTACAGGCAGGAAAGTGCAACTGGGACAGTCAGCGCTGGTGACAGTTCCAGCATCCCTGTGGGCTCTGAGCACAGCAGCTTTGAAGCTCAGGGTGTCCAGGAAGCCACGCCCCAACCTGCAATGTCCCTGCAGCCCCTGCTGCCGTCTGCCAGGGCCACTGTGGAGACACCTTGCTAGTCCTCAAATCATACTTGGAGCCTAGAAATTTCATATTTCCCCATGTAATTACTGGTCTTAATTATGCAATTAGCATGAGAAAACAAATTGTGTAATCAGAGCATGCAATCAGACAATGATTGCCGTAATCAGGGGCGAGATTAGCGGGAATGAGTGGGTTTATGACTTGAGGGAGAGGAGCTTGGGCGCAGAGAGATCTCTGGACACTGGTGGCCTCAGGGGCCCTCACCAACACTGAACATGCAGCTGTGCCCCTGAGCATGAGAGTCAGGCACTGGGAGGGCGTGGGGACAGGCCTATGAATACCCAGATTCCAGGATCCTCAGCAATGCACAGGCTGCCCCGACGTGGCTTCGCCGAGTGAGTTAGCATACTTTTAATCTGCGTGATCCCCAGAAGAGGTCACACCACTTCTGTGGCATCAGGGGTAAAACGCTGCTCTATGACGCTATCTGCAGCCACTGCAGCACAAGTTGGATCCCCAAGCAGGGAGCTGACCCACAGGGCACAGCAGACCTCTCCTGACCCGCCCGCTG